AGTTACTTGCAATCAATACATTCAGTTCCTTTCAGTGTTTGTTATCAGTTCAATATTATCAGTGGATTAAATTTCTATGTGTGTCAAGTCACAGTTATTTTTATTTGTCAGTGTATTCGAATTTCTTTTCAACCTATCCAACCGACTACGCTGATGTTTCCAGATCCAACCAAATAGCTGCCGCGGCTTGGACTTCCAAAACAGATAACATTTTCATACATATTAATTAGTGTTCATTTTTGTTTTTTTTCATTTATATAAAATTTATATAGAATATATTTTAGTTTATTATTGATTACGGTTAGAGAATTTTATTTTTAATTTATATTTGTTTACCATTGGTTTTTGTTTTCTGAATACATTTAATTTTTTTATTTTTCCTCGAAGTATAAAATCTTCGAAAGGGGTTGAGAAACCCCCCAACATCAACATTTGGTCCTTCGAGCCGGATCCTAATTATTATTAGGATTAATTGGTGTATACAGAAACAAAAATATATAATGGGCCTAAAATCGATATTGGTGCAGAAATTGCACGTCTAACCGCCAAGAGAGAGATGTACTTTTCAATTGTGCAAGAAACGTACGATCTATCGCAACAGATTGATGTATCTTCAATAAGACACAATTTCTTGAAAATTTATATATTACTGACTGAAATGCTCGTGAACAATTTATTCAATTGTGCGATGAAATAAACAAATTAAAATATTTAGATAATCCTAGTTTCATTCCGGAATATTCCGCAATAAAGGCCCTTGAAACGATGTATGCCAAAATAAAACACGCTGAAAATTATTAGATAATAAAATGCGCATAGTTCTTCAATTAAAGACATAGTACCCAAACAACATTTACCGTCCATTGAAGTACCTAAATTCTCAGGAGATATTCAACAATGGCCATTTTTATGAAACATTTAATTCACTAATTCATGAAAATACAGAGTTAGATAATGTTCAAATTTCATTTTTTAAAAGGAGCGTTACAGGGTCCGGTTTAAAAATATTTCATTCTATACTACCGACCGCAAATAATTATCAAATTCTTTGGGAAGCGCTCATAAAAAAATACCAAAATAAACGGTACTTAGCCACCAATTATTTCAAACAACTATTGTCATTCAAAACCATTTCATCTGGACAAATAAATTCATTCCTGAAAAATTCGATACCGCGGTGCAAGCGCTCTCCCAATTGAATATTCCCGACGCCTATGATTTCCTTATTACGTCACTGGCATTCTCGAAACTCGATCCGTTGTTACAAGAAAAATTCGAGCATTTTTATCAAGGTGAGTTTCCCAAATACCAAGACCTCCTGCATTTTTCTTCAAAAGTCACAACAGGCAAAAATCAAGTATATGGTATGACCAACAATTTCACTAATGACAAACCCAATTACAAAACACTAAAATTAGCCGGTCATTTTTGTTAAAAGATAAATATGATAACAAATGCTTTGTGTGTCGGGAACAACACAGAGTGTTTACTTGTTCGAAATTTCTTTCATTGAGTATACCTGATAGGCGATCCCTTATTCAAAAATTAAACTTATGCGACAATTGTTTGGGTCATAAGATAACGACTACGTGTCGATCGAATAAAACCTGTTTATTATGTAACGAACGACATCACTCGCTGTTGCATACTGGCAGCAATTTTGCGAGTACGGATCAAAATAATCTTTCTAATTCCAAATCAGTAGTACGGTTTTATGCGCATTTAATCAAACAAATCGCACATCATATTACCATATTGCCGACAGCAGTAGTAAAAGTTACTACTAGAAAAGAAAACATTTTATTACGTACAATTATTGATTCGGGAAGCGATAGAAATTTTGTGACATTAACTTGGTGCAAAAAGGCTGATTTACAAATTCTTCCAATATCAACCCAAGTGATCGGGTTAGGCAATTCGTCACATAAAGTTATTGGATTAGTTAATTTCACTTTGAAATCTTTAATTGATTCTTATCAGTTATCGGTCTGTGCATACGTAGTACACGAGATAGTGGGAAAGCAACCACAAATTACCATTCCGATTTCATCCATCAAAACATTTCTGAATTATCCTTTAGCGGATCCTAACTTTCATACACCCCAGGAGGTCGACGGAATTTTGGGTTGCGATGTTTTCGGCGAAATTCTTGGCACTAATCAAGTTAAAAATGATAAAGGATTACCTGTGGCCCTAGAAACCCGGTTGGGTTATTTAATATTAGGTTCCATTCCTGATTTATTTGAAAATACCGGCACTTCTACTAATTTATGTAATGTTTCAGATTCAGATTTCCATTTACAAATGAATAAATTCTTACAATTAGAAGACATTCCCGAAATAATCCTCTTCTAACGATGATTTATGCGAAAACCATTTTACTACAACTACTACGCGATCTCCAGATGGACGATATGTAGTAGCGCTGCCTTTTAAAGTGAAGGCAGAAATTTATACAAATCATTTCATTTAGCCTTAAAGCGATACCAAATGCTTGAAAATAAATTTTTGAAATATCCCGAATTTCATAAAAAATATGCCGCCGTTATAGAAGATTACCTGACTCAAAACCAATTATCCTTTGTCGATTATTGTCCGGTAGATCAGGAAGTCGATGATTTTATTAAATAAAAATGGATATTATATTCCTCATTTCGCATGTCGAAAAAGAAAGTTCCTCTACGCCTTTACGCGTTGTTTTTGATGCATCTGCGAAAAATTCAGAATTCACTTCCTTGAACGAAATTTTGCATGTTGGTCCTAAATTACAAACCGACATTTGTTCAATCCTTCTAAATTTTCGTTTCGGGCCTATAGCATTAACAGCTGATATCAAACAAATGTATCGTAATATTTGGGTTCGTAAACAAGATAGAAAATATCAAAAATCTTATGGAGACCGTTTCCCGATGCACCCATTGGCATCTATGAATTAAATACCGTAACTTTTGGTCTATCATCATCTCCCTTTCAAGCTATCAGAACCATCAAACAACTATCCCGAGACGAATGTTCCAAATATTCTCAATCTATTTCTAGAATTCTTGAGAACGATGTCTATATTGATGATGTGGTTACAAGTATCGACTCCTTGGATAGCGCTAAAACCATTTGCGAGGGTTTGCAGACTGTATTATCGTCTGGTGGTTTTGAATTAAAAAAGTGGGAATCTAATAATTCTAATCTGCGTAAACTTTTTTCTGATTCTGATGTACAAAATAAACATTTCTCTAAATCGGATTTTCAAATGGATCTCTTCTACAAGGTATTGGGATTAAAATGGGATCCCTTATCAGATAATTTTTCATTCGAAATAAAGCTTACGTGGAGAAAATGGACAAAGAGACAACTTCTTTCAGTAATAGCGCGAATCTGGGATCCTCTGGGTTTCCTAACTCCGATAGTTGTTAAGATAAAATATTATTGAAAAAAATTTGGACATTAAAAATCGATTGGGATGAGGAATTACCATCATTTATTATTACATCATGGTTAGCCGTATATTCCGAATTAGAGCATCTTAATACTATCAGATTCCGCGTTATCTCGAAACATCAAAACAAAACAATGTTCATTATTTGGTTTCGCGGATAGTTCAGAGCAAGCGTATGGAGCGGTAGTTTATATTAAATCTCTTGGCAATCCGAATTTCTTGTTGATTTCAAAATCGCGTGTAACACCGATTAAAAACCAAACATTAGCCAGGCTTGAACTTTGTGCCTGTCATTTACTGACAAAACTTCTGAATTTTATATTAACGAATAACCAACATAGTATAGATTTTGATTCTATTTACTGTTTTTCCGATTCTATGATTGTCCTTCACTGGTTAGCAGGACCGGCTACTCGTTGGAAAACATTTGTAGCCAATAGGGTAACAAAAATACGGGATCTCATTCCTAATGCACAATGGCTTCACATTCCTTCTAATCAAAATGCAGCCGATTGTGTTTCTCGAGGTCTTCGACCTAAGGATTTATCCAACATAAGAATTGGTTGTTTGGGCCGGATTGGTTGAATGGTCCTATATCAACTTGGCCTGCAAAAACGGTTGAACCTTCCGGAGATATTGATCAAGAAAGAAAAGCTAACGCTCTAATAGTAAAGAGTGTCATACCACCGATCAATCCTTTATATGAATTAACGCGCAAAATTTTCTAATTGGTGCAAACTTGTAAGAATTTTCGCTTATATATTGAAGTTTTGTAAAATTATAACAAATCGAAACCGACTTTTGACTTCAGATTTGAAACACCGAGGTTATTATTATTCGTTTAGTCCAAGAACATCATTTTCCCGAAGAATTCAAACTATTAACGAACGGAAAGTCTTGTTCGAAAAAGTTTTGCCGACTAAATTTGGTTTTGGATTCTAATAATTGTTTACGCGTTAAAGGTAGATTAGGATTAACAACTAATAACAATCCACTTCTTTTGCCAAAAAAAGACCAAGTAGTAATTGTCTCATAGATTACTACCATATTAATAATTTACATACTGGATCAAACTTAGTATTATCTTTATTGAGGCAAAAATATTGGATCTTGTCGGCTCGTGCAATAATTCGTAATCGTCTCACAAGTGTATAACTTGTTTTCGACAGAATCCGAACCCATTTTTCCATTCATGGGCGACTTACCAGTACCGCGCATAACAGCCAGTAGAGCTTTCCTAAACGTCGGCGTTGATTATGCAGGCCCCTTCAATATCTCCATGAGTCGTCACAGAGGCGCTCGAACCTACAAGGCTTATATATGCTTGTTCATCTGTTTAGCCACTAAGGCGATACATCTCGAATTAGCTTCAGATTTAACAAGCGATACATTTTTAGATTGCTTGAAACGATTCCTAGCCCGGCGTGGTCCTATCAAATGTATTTACTCCGATTGTGGAACCAATTTTATAGGAGCCAAAATACTCTTGATTCCTTATTCTTCTCCTAAATTCCGAAGAGTATAAAAAGCGTTTCAATGAATTATTGGTTTTACATGACATTGAATGGAAATTTAATCCACCGTTTGCCCCACATTTTGGAGGTATATGGGAGGCGAATATTAAATCAGTGAAGACCCATTTGTTTAAAGTTATAGGGTTGCAAATTTTATCCTACGAAGAGTTTAATACAGTCCTCAATCAAATCGAAGCCTTACTGAATTCAAGACCGTTATGTTGGCTGAGCAATGATCCATCGGATCCTCAACCTCTTACGCCTGCGCACTTCTTAATGCAAGAGCCTCTGTCGGATTTGCCCGTTGACTATGAAAACTTGAATTTGACTAAAAGAAAACAATTGTTAGATCATATTGTCGCTTCTTACTGGAAGCGATGGAATGTGGAATATCTAACCGAGCTACAGGTCCGACAGAAATGGAATACAGTCACTAATCCTATTAAAAAGGGTGATTTGGTAGTTGTAAAACAAGAGAATGCGCGTCGCTGCTCCATGGGGGGTTGGGAAAAGTTGAAGAGGGTTTTTCGGCTCCGATGGAGTGGTTCGAGTAGCATTGGTAAAAACGGGAAATACCCTAATCAAGCGGCCTGTTGTCAAACTATGCCCCCTACCTATTCAATAGTTTTTATCTGAATTATTCATTTCAAAAAAAAAAAAACTTTTCTATCTCATGATATATTTGCTTCTATATATAGTTTTGCCAAATTTTCAATCTCCAGGGCGATGAGAACACCCCTCATAGTCTCTGGAAGATTCTTGTAAATGTCCAAAAATCTAGACCCTGGCGCGAAAATAAAACTTCCGCAATCTAGATCGTGTGAAGTGGTTGTGATCTGATAGTTTGCTGAGTCCTCGTCGTACGTAACCCTGATCAGGCTTCCGTAACCGATCTACTTAATGAAAGTTTGAATTTTTTTTGGCAATTCTATCCTTCCTAATCATGAGGTTCACTATGTACCAATTTCGAGTATTTTCAGAAGTATAAAAGGCTAACCTTTTTAGTCGGGGGAAAATGTTTGCGCCGCACCTGTGTAGGTTGTCGGACCTGTAAAAGGTTTGTTTTTCTACTCGGACAATACGTTTCAAATTTAGGCAATCGGGCAATTCTGACTCATAAAAAGGCCGATGCAGGCAATAGTTTTAGCATTCAAATCTTTCATTCCGCGCCTTTCTTCATTCGTTCAGTTACTTTCAGTTCCTTACGTGTTCGAGTTGATTTATTCCGTGGTTTTCATTCATTTTGTTTAAAATTCATTCATTCAGTTACTTGCAATCAATACATTCAGTTCCTTTCAGTGTTTGTTATCAGTTCAATATTATCAGTGGATTAAATTTCTATTGTGTCAAGTCAACAGTTATTTTTATTGTCAGTGTATTCGAATTTCTTTTCAACCTATCCAACCGACTACGCTGATGTTTCCAGATCCAACCAAATAGCTGCCGCGGCTTGGACTTCCAAAACAGATAACATTTTCATACAATATTAATTAGTGTTCATTTTGTTTTTTTCATTTATATAAATTTATATAGAATATATTTTAGTTTATTATTGATTACGGAGTAAGAAGAATTTTATTTTTAATTTATATTTGTTTACCATTGGTTTTTGTTTTTTCTGAATACATTTAATTTTTTTATTTTTCCTCGAAGTATAAAATACTTCGAAAGGGGTTGAGAAACCCCCCAACATCCACATACACAAATAAATAATTTATAACTCTCACTTAAAATAGAAAACTCTTGAGCTAATAATCTAAAATTGGTGTAGGATAATATAATTCTTGCAAATCTGCAAATATGCATTATATTGTACAGAAATAATCAGGCTGGATGTATTAAAATTACATTTATTCTTTACATCATCAAAAAATTTTAAATCATTCGAGTATTATGAAGGATGTCAAAATAAAATATGTTCGACTTAGGCCGTCTTGGTATACTTTAAAATCTCATTCGAAAATAATTAATTAAAAAAAAAAACAACACTCTCATTTGGAGACATACTCTTCGTTTTATCTATGGTGGCAACTGTTCGGACGTATTTTCATTTTATTATATTGGCCATGAAGGCAGCTAGTTTCATGGCATTAAGCTTTTACACAGGAAAGTTGTTACCCTTGTAAAAGGGAGGAGCGGAGAATTTGATGGGTCTAATTTTTCCAAAAGTAAGTCTGCTAAACAACATATGTAATAAATAATCAATAAATACATCTTCTTCAATTAGAACTTAGTGACAAATCAATAGTGTAATTAAAACTGCAACAATTACAGTAACTCTTATTCAGGCATTTATACATCATATCTTTTATAACATTTAAACCATTTGAATATTATGAATGACAAATTCATAAAATTTATTTGCTTCAAAATTATCTACAACATTGTCTAACACTATGATACTAACCCCATAGCAACTCGTTATACGTACAAATGGGCATAAATATTAGGTTCATAATAAAGTAGGTAAATTAGTACAGTATAAAAGAGAGAGCGCGAGAGAGAAAAAGTGATAAAGAGCAAAAATTAGAAAGGCGCAATGAGAAATAGAGATGGAAGAAGATTAAGATAGTACAGTTAAAATAGAGAGCGAGAGAGAAAATAAAGATTAAGAGCGAAAATTAGAAAGACATGGTGAGAAATAGAGATAGAAGGAGATTAAGATAGTACAGTATAAAAGAGAGAATGAGATAGAAAAAGTGATAAAGGCGTAAATTAGAAAGACATAGTGAGAAATAGACATCGAAGGAGATTAAGACTAAGTTCAGTAAAAAAGAGAGAGCGAGAGAGAACGAAAATTAGAAAGATATAGTGGGAAATAGAGATGGAAGGATATTAAGATAGTGCAGTATAAAAGAGAGAGCGTGAGAGAAAAAGTGATAGTGAGCGGCAGTTAGAAAGACATAGACATAGAAATAGAGATAGAAGAAGATTAAGATAGTGCAGTAGAAAAAAGAGTGCGAAGGAGAATAAGTGATAGAGAACGAAAATTAAAAAGACATAGTTGGAGATAGAGATAGAAAGTGATTATGAAAGAATGATGAATGGATAGAGTGAAATAGTGAGAAATAGTGACTACAGTATAAAAGAGAGAGCCAGAGAAAACAAGTGATAGAGAGCGTAAATTGGAAAGACATAGTGAGAAATAGACATAGAAGTGTATTAAGATAGTACAGTATAAAAGAGAGAAAAAAAGTGATAGTTAGCGAGAATTAGATTGACGTGATGAGAAATAGAGATAGAAGGAGGTTTAAATCGTGCAATATAAATGAAATAGCGAGGGAGAGAAGGTGATTGAAAGCGAAATTCTAAAAGACATAGAGAAAAATAGAGATAGAAGAAAAATAAGATAGTATAGTACAGTATAAAAAAGGAGCGAGAGAGAGAAAGAGATAGAGAGCGAAAATTATGAAGACATAGTGAGAAATAGAGATAGAAGAGGAGATTAAGATAGTGCAGTATAAAAAAGAGAACAAGATGGAAAAGTAATACTGAGCGAAAATTATAAAGACATAGTGAGAAATCGATATATAAGGATATTACATTTTTATACTGTAACTTTTTACTGTTGTACTGAGATAGAAACATTGACAGAGAGCGAAAATTAGAAAGCCAAAGTGAGAAGCAGAAACCGAAGGAGATTAAGATAGTACTGTATAAAAAGGAGAGCGAGAGAGAAAAAGTGATAGAGAACGAAAATTAGAAAGACATAGTGAGAAATAGATATCGAAGGAGATTAAGATAGTACTGCATAAAAAAGAGAGCGAGAGAAAAACAGTGATAGACAGCGAAAATTAGAAAGACATAGTGAGATATAGGAGTAGAAGATGATTATGATAGTACAGTATAAAAGAGAGGGCGAGAGAGAAAAAGTGATAGGGAGCGAAAATTAGAAAAACATAGTGAGAAAATTTAGATAGAAGGAGATTAAGATAGTACAATATAATAGAGGAGCAAGTGAGAAAAAGTGATGGAGAGCGAACATTTAAAAGACATAGTGAAAAGAAGAAGATTAAGATAGTACAGTATAAAATAGAGAGCGAGATAGAAAAAGTGATAGAGAGCAAAAATTAGAAACAGAGACAGAAGAAGATTGAGATAGTATAGTATTAAAGGGAGAGCGAGAGAAAAAATAGTAAGAGAATGAAAATTAGAAAGATATGGTGAGAAATAGAAAGCGAAAAAGATTAAGACAGTATACAGTATAAAAGAGAGAGTGAGAGAGAAAAAGTGATAGAGTGATAATAAATAATAGTGAAAATTAAATATACTGAGAAATAGAGATAAAAGGAGATTATGATAGAATGATGAATGGATAGAGTGAGAGAGTGAGAGTAAGAGACATAAAATGAGAGAATTGAGAGATATAGCGATATAGTGAGTTACATAATAAAAGATAGAGAGATAGTGAGAAATAGAAAAATAAAGTGATCGATAAAGAGAAAAAATATAATTTTTCTATGTATACAGTACCCTGGACATATCCCATAATTATTTATTTTTCACATTTATCCATAATTTATTTAATATTTCTTACTTGCAGGCGTAGTACTTGTCGCACTGCTCGTCGTCGGCGAAGTAGCCGTTCGGCTCCGGGCACTGGTCGCTCGTTTCGGCCGAATCCGTGTCATCATCATCGCTCGGACGATATCGGTTCTCGTCGGAGCGGTAGCGCTTCCTCTCCTGGCCCAGGGACGAATTTAATACTTGAATGGATAGAAGAAGAAGAAAATGGTTAGATTTAGTAATGGCAATTATGACAATAATAGTAGTGGGTTAGATCTCCGAAGACAGAGGTACTTTAGCCAACTTTCTCAATATTTAGGAAAAGAGCGTCTTCTGCAAGATGTTTTGGAAGGAAAAATAAAATTAGAAGAAGTAAGGAATGTAGTTTTTAGACAAGTTTTGCGAAAAAAAATACAGGAAACTGAAAGAAAAGATACCTGGCGCGGTGACATGGATGAGGAAGTTTGAGGAGTAATGGTGATCTATAAACAAGGAATGGATTTGATCAAAAATGCAAGGTAATTCACTTTAACTCTATTATCCAGCGGCAAAGACACAGAAAAAAACTTGTAATCAACTTTGAACTTGTGCACTTTTTGCACCGTTAGCTAGTAGTACTGTTACGTAAACAACCAATAAACTATCGGAATCAAAGCTTACATATAAGTAACTAGCAAACCCGACGAACTCCGTTTTACCACCAGATGGTTTCGTGAGTAAGATGAAGGAATTTTTTGTTTGTTTTATTTTTGAAAAGGAAAAATTTAATTTTATTACAAAACAGTAATGCATTTATTTCTATTACAAAAATGAAGTGTTTTTTAGTTGAACTTCTCTAAGTAAATGAAAGTGAATCCGCAAATTATTCGTTTCATTGAAGTGCTCTTTGGTAAACCACATTTTTTGTTTTTTGGTCTGACGTTAACACAAACAAAGCGGATGGTTTACCAACTCGTGAACAGGCAACGTATAACTGCCCATGTGAAAAACAATTATTTTCTAAATAATCTATTTGAAATTTATCCCGCAAACACTAAGCGATTAGCCTTGCGACTTGTTAATTGTCATTGCGAACGCAAGGCGAACTAGAAATTACAATCGTCAAACGGAAGACCAGTCGAAATCATTGGTATGTCACCAAATCGTCAGCAATTTTTGATTGAATGGTGAAATTCAGTGCGTGTACATCATTATTCTTTGCGGCAAGAATTGCTCGTTGACTTAACCAAGCATAATTCTGATAATTCTCACTAATGTCATAGCTAATTTTCTTAGCTATAAACCTTGCGGAGCCCGAGACCTTTCCAACGAATGCAAAATTGTCGGAATCGGTTTGCGTTTGCCTTTTGGAGTTATATCGTCGGAAGGAAAGCCCGACTTATTTTTATATATATATATGTAGATAAATAATAAGTAATTAGACTTTTTGAAATTATTTAATTGAATGCATCCTTGAAAAATTTAATTACAATTATTTTTAATCTCGCACTATGAAAAAATAAAATAAAGAAGATTGATCTTAAATATTCAGAAAAAAAATTGTAACAGAAGTCCAGTTTGACATCTATCAACAACACTGTAAAAAAATAATATTGTTAAGAGTTGTACAACCCTTGATGAAATTAATTTTTCATGTAAAATTGAGCTTTTATATAAGCTCAAAACATCAATCGAAATTCAGTCATAAAGGTTCTCCGAAAGAAATCAAGATGAAAAATTGTGTAATTGCTATAATAATTCTTACAAAAATCGTGGAAGGTGAAAATGTAAGGTTATATGTATTTTTCATATATTCGCATTATAAAAAAAATAACTAGTGGTGTGTATGGCATTGTGCCTTAAGGCAAATTGCTGGAACTTCCCGTACCGTAACGAAATGTTCGAGAAATATTGAATGTTTTCAAATAGATTATTATAAATATTGTAACATTGCCTAATATTTATAAGAATTATATTAACTGAATTGCAAAGTTGAAATTATTTTGTTCAAAGTATATTAGAACTTTAGTTTAAAAAAAAATCAGAATTATTTTCGATATACAAAATAAAATTTTTTTGAAAAAAAATTTTTAAACAAATTTTTGTTTTCCAAAATCAATTATTTTGCAAGCAGAAAGATTTTTGAATCATTTAAATCGCACGCTTAGTTCTCTCAAAAACTGACATTTTTTGCACATTTAGCTCTGCATCTTTGAAATGGCTGGGCCTGCCTTTGCCAAAAACTATTAACGACTTCTCCCAATCATTACTAATTGAATGTTTTTTAGATCATTCAAATCGGATGATCCGTTCTCTCAAAAACTCGATTTCTATTTTCTGCACTCTTTGCTCTTTATCTCCGTAACTGATGGACCTGCCTTTGCTAAAAACTAATCAGCACATCTCCTTATCAATAGGAATCGAATGTTTTTTGAACCATTCAAATCGGTTGATCCGTACGCCCGATATACATACACACACACACACACATACACGCGCGCATCCATTTTTTCTGAAGTATGCCAAAATGTTCAGAAACCTTCAAAACGTCGAGAAATGTAAAAATTTTCAATTTCGATTTTCGGCCCATTACAATAACTTACCCTACGGGAAGTTAAAAATTGACTCAAAAAGTAAAACTAGTAGTGCATGGCTTCGCGCCTTAAGACAAATTGCTGAAATTTTTGTACCAAAAATTAAACATTTTTTGCATATATTTAATTTTTTTGTTTTGATTTTTTTTTAAATATTAAACATTTTTTTAAAGCATCGCATAGCTGATTTAGAGTCAAAATATCAAAGCGCTTAAGCACCGCGTAGTCGTCTAACCTGTAAACATTGGTACGGAACTTATATAAATGTACACAAAATTTGTACTAATTATTATAATCTTTATAAAATATTTGATAATACGATGTACATATGTCTAATGTTTATTTTTGACCGCCAAATGGCATTATTTTTTACTTTTTTATTGGATCTCCGAAGACGCTGGACTTGCCTTCACAAAAATTTCATCAGTTGTTCAATTCATCCATACAAGTAAAATGTTTTCTGAATTATTTAAATTGGACGCTTCGTTATCTCAAAAACTAAAATACCATTTTTGCCCCGTATCTTCGGAACGGCTAGACCTGCCTTTGCCAAAAGCTAATCAGCACGACTCCTTATCAATAGAAATCGAATGTGTCTTGAATGATTTAAATCGGTTTAACCATGTTCCCGAAATAGTCGACGAAATTTGTATCCGCACACACACACTCACATACATCCATTTTTTCTAAGGTATGCCAAAATGTTCAGAAACCTTTGAAACCTAGAGATATATAAAAATTTTGATTTTTCATTTTTTTTGCGATTAGTATAACTTATCCTACGGGAAGTTAATTAATATTAACATAATAATTTATTAATTTGTTTTTCTGTACATGTGTGTATTTATATTTGTAAGTTTGTTTGATATGGCTGTGTGCGTGCCATAAATGTCAACAAGGTAAAGAACTTGTTCTTTCGCGACGAAGAATCAGTGAAAGTAGAATTCGATTCGTTATTGTGTTTTGCGTTTTTATGGATATACATATATACATACATATATATATATATATATATATATATATATATATATATGAGTGTGAAGTTGTATATGTTGAAATTAATTTGTTTTGTTTCATTTTTATTCATTATAAACAAGGAGAGGCATGTTCGTCAGGAACGTTATAAAAAAGAAAAAGAATAAAAGTATGTTATTTCGCATTAAATATATATATATATATATATATATATATATATATATATACTAGATGACCCGACAGACGTTGTCCTGCACCCACGTCTACAATTCAAGAGTTATACTTTGTAATATTCTATTTGATGTCCTGCCTTTGTGATTCATTTATGGTCTTAGCATAAGCAGTATAAGAAATTCAGAAAAAAATAATATAGTATCTGCGCTAAAAGAATAATATCACACTTGATTTTACCATACAATATAATTGCTTCAATAATATAGTCTATAATTTTCATAATCTCGTACGATATATTAGATGTTTTTTGGCAATTATAATTTCTGAAGCACATTTTTCTTACTAAGAATTAATACACATTGTTGTTTATGTTCAAATCTTAGATGAATTAATTTGTAAAATCTAGTTCATATGTGCACTCATATTAGTATATTGTCTAGGTGTGCACTATTCAATCTAAGATCAACTTGATAAATATTCCATATCCAATGCCAAACAAATGAATTTTTGACAAATGAAACAAAATTCTAAATCATTTTTTTAATAAGTAGAAATATTTTTGTATTGTTAAATAATTTAGTAAAGTAAACCAAAATGCGACATGCATAAGTTTAAAAAAATAACGTACATGCAGTTTTGGAGCTTTTGCGTTATTTATTAAACTGAATTATGTAATTTCATCTGCCAAACATATAGTGTTGACTGTATCTTATATTATTTTAATTTCTGGCACATCTCAGCTGCTTTTCGGCAATAATATTATAGACATTACATTTTTCTTGTATATGACATTCTAATATTATCTAGGCTCATAATGTCAGCTAAATTCAAATTTCAAGTGAATCGACACTTCTAGCAGATGACAGTTGAAATGTTTTCAATGCCAAACACTGATAAGTGTTTTTTTGTAATATTTGCCATTTATTTTTACAATATTATTATAGTTTTATCGTTCATTAAATCTTAAAAATTTCCTTTGACAAACTGTAAAAAGAATTATCAAATCATACACCCGTACACAAGAATTTTATATATATATATATATATATATATATATATATATATATATATACAGTGCTGGATTTACAGTAGGGGCAGTCGGGGCTACTGCCCAGGGCGGCAAAATTTCGGGGGCGGCAAAATTTGGATAGTAAGAAAAAACTCTATACCATATAATTAGCTTATTTTTTTAATAACATTTTTATTTCAAGCAATATAATTAATAAAACATTATACAAATGCAATGCAAAATTTGGCAATTTGGCTAATATAAGGATACGTAAATGAGTTGAAAGTTTAAGAAAAATATGTTTATGCACTT